CATTGTTTCAGACCTTTATTTTTTATTAAGCATGCTGTTAATGGAGGCATTTGTCAAATACCACTGTGATAAACAGATTTGAAAAGATACAAACACCAAATCTAAATTACTCATGCTCATTGTAGCAAGCTCAAAAAAGCAAGAGCCAACCAAGTATCTCAGGAAAAAACAACAACAACAAAACAAAACACAACTAACAAACAAAACAAAACAAACAAAAAAACACATCAAAATACATACCATAGTCCTATGGAAATATTCAAGATCATAAGGCCATGCCTTAGCTCTGCCAACTAGCTGATAACTCATATGGATTAAATTTGACCTCTTAAAGAGTGTTTCTTTGTTGGTAATGGTAATTAACAGTTCTAAACTGGATTGGAGCTTGCAAGGGAGGCATACATATACTTTGTCCAACTTAATTGAAGACTGGGGATGTACCAACAACGAGGAAAAAAACATTCATTCACAGGAAATTAACTTGAGTTTTGCCATTGTTTTAAAAAATACTTAACTTAGCCTCTACCTAAAATTCCAAACTTCAAAGATTCAGACAGTACGAATTCATAGTGCTGATTTAGTACTGCAAAGACTGGCTTACTTTCCATGTTAAAAATTTCAGCTGGGATCCAGGCATTCTCATACTGGATTTATTACTAACTGGGATCTGAAATTGTTGTACAATATGTTGCTTCATTTCCACTTCTTGCATCTGGTGCAACTGACTTCCCTGGCTTTTTTGTCTGATAGCTCTAGTCAGCTGAAAATAACATTACCCTAGGTTTGAACAGCAGTTTCCACTTGCCATATAAGTAAATACCTTTGCTTATTTCAGAAGGGCAGTCAGTTACTTTGCAAAGTAAATTTACTGACTGATTTTGTGAGCCACAACCAAAAATGGCTTGAGCTGAATACAACATATTATTTCAGTTGGCTGAATCCACACTGCCTGTGAGGATGAGGTTCAAGTTAAAGCCAGTCCTTAGGTATACGTGCATTTCCCTGCTTTGCAAGCCACCTGGTGCACTGTCAAGGAAGGGCTGAAACTGAAATCCAAAGCACAAATCAGAGTGCTGAGCTAATATGACAATATAGACAGGTTCATCAAGGCCTTAGGTCCTTCCTTGATGATTTTTGTAACAAAAACCCTGTAGAAATTATTTTGTCAACGTTAATTTGGTGGTAACACTAATTACTGCTGCTCTGTGTTAATCTACAAAACATGTCAGCACTTTTGTATATTCATAGTATTGGCTAATCCAATAAGGAAATTAATGTCAGAAAAGGAAGGAGAGAAGAAAAAGAGACATGAAGAAAAATTTGAACAAGAACACTTGGCCAAAAAGCTCTTAATATTCTGTTTTTCTAAGCACTATGTAATAACGTCTGTTGCTCACTGGGAGCTAATAAAAGTGCTGAAGTTAAGCTAAACTGTATGACTGCCTATTGTCTATTTTCATTTTCTGTCACTGAATAGCTAATTCTCTCACAGGATTACCCTCGTTTCTCATAGACTCTAATATTAATTAAAGCATTAAATGATTACATACTTTTAGATCACCTCATTTGGGTCCTGACCCCTGTTCCATTAAGGCAACTGGAACATTACTATTCATGTGAACAGAGGGCAGAATGAAGCCCTTATCTGGGAAGTTTCACAGAAAGCATACCATACTCCCAAAAAAACATCAAACAAGCAGATCACTGAAGTCCAAAGGTCAGGTAAGAGGTCAGTTCCCATCTCCAGGCAAAATGGTGAAAGTATTTTAAAACTGCACCTCAAAAAGTAAGAATGAGTTACACATTTAAGCTGCCAGGTGTAAGAAAATACAGCTTGTGTTTCTATCTTTGCAACACAAGCTGTCAGCATTTTTTCTTGCTTTTTATAAGTCAATAATTTAATTAATATGCTTACTTTCTTTCTTAAGTTAGATACCTAACACCAAGATTCCACAGTACGCAGTTCAGTCTCAAAACTAGACTAACCATGAGCAAATTTGCACTATACTGTAAGATGCTTTTTCTCTACATTATACATCATTATTTAAAGCTCATTTAAATTATAAAATAGTTTGGCAAAACCATTTCTGTGACTACACAGAAGTAACACAGCTCTTAAGTTTATTTTATACTTAGCTATTTTTTTAATTATCTAGTACAAATTATTATTTCTGTAAACTTAAACTGACCCTCCATGAGAAACGTTAAAAGGCACATCATCTGCAAGCAAACTTCTTAAATTTTAAGTATAGCATAAATTCATATAAATTTTCCTTTACAGTAGTTGTTCACCTTATAAGAAAATACACTCAAAATTTTCATGAAAGATACACTGAAATGTAAGTGTTCAATATTTTAAACTTTACCAACATTTAAACTAAGAGTGTTCCTCTAAAAAGTGAAAATAGTCCTTTGGGAACTCCCCTGGCTCTCCTCTGCAAACATCTTTTCAATAGCACAAACTTTTAAATGCTATAAAAACTGAAAGCCACTTATTTCTCAAAAGTGGATGTTTTATTCTGTGCCCTTCATCATTCATTCCACGCTATTGAAGCAGGCTGAATGGGGCTTAGTACCAGTGAGTTTGAATTGCTAAACAAGAGGCAAGTCTCATCATGCGTTCTGAATATCTACAAGAAACATACAAAGAATTATCGCTGATTATGTTTTTCTCTGCTCTTGATAAACTCCAGTTGTTTCTGAAAGATATGCCTGGTTCCCCACCCTGGGAAGAGCAGATCATTCATAACTGTCTGTAAGAATTAGGAAATACATGAGAGCCTCACACCGTCTCTCTTTTTAGAACAAACTAGCATGCTCACATATTTTACCGTTTATTTTCAAAAACGCAGGAATGGTGTTATATAATTATGTTTAAGCTTTTCAGATTTCCAGTTTGGAATATCTAATGCCTCCCCTGCTCTATCTGTGTGTGTGTGTGTGATCCTCTAATTCTTCCTGGGTCCTGATTTTGCATTTCTAACGAAGCTGAACTGACAAAGCGTGAAAGTGGTCTAAAAGGAAAAACAAAGAAAGTGACCCTGCTTTCACTGTGCCAAGACTAATCAATATTCCAGCAGCTCAGCTTTCCCCTCTCTTCTGATGTGTTTTTATTTTTTTTCAGAGTTGGGCTGACAGTCTCCTCCCCTTTCCTTATGTTACAGACATAGTAAGTTGCTGTACTCCAGAGCACATGCAGATTGTCAGTTTTCTCTGTCTCCTGCACGCTGAGCTCTGCAGCTCTCTTGTCTCTGCTGGGAAACCCCTGCCTTGTCTGACACCACCGGGTTCTTAGACCACCGAAGATCTGAAAAGGTGAGACAATCACTTCATTTGGTGGGTTTTGAGTGTACAGCCTTAATTTTTTTCACTCTCTGCCTTTGCGTGTTACTTAATGTAATGATCATTTTGGCTGAACCCATGTTGCTTCTTGATCTTAATGTAAATTATAAAGGACAGTTCAGCTGCATTAATCACCCTGGAAAGAAAGGCACTGTAAAGAAATATTATTTTGTTTTTACAAAATACTAATAATTAATTGTTCTGAAAAAAAAATCCTGCTTGCATGCAGTAGTCATGTCCAAGCTAGAATGCTTACTAATTTAAACATCTAGCTCAGTCTCAAGAGTGTTTCCAGCCTCTGAAGAAGCAAAGCATACAGCATTCTGTTAAAATCCAGAGAGGATATTGCACTGAAGTGCCAACCTTGAAACATATGGTAGAAGCAGCCATCAAATCCCATCCAAATCATTTTGTTACAATACAGTAATTCCTCTTAAAATGTGCTGTTTGAAAAGCATATATATATATTTATATATATATATATATTTTAAATGCATCCTAAAAAAATATTAAAAAATAAAAGGTATTTAGGCACTAGGTTTATTAAAAACAGTATGTTAGATTTGGACTGTGTATAAATGGAGAGACATTTCAGTGGAATCAACTAACTCTATCAATTTATAAATTTCTGATGTCTTCATGAAAACATGACAGTGTGTTAATTTAGGCTTCAGAAAATGGGATCCTCAGTCTGGACCTTTGTGCAGGCTCCACTATTAAATAAATACGTACCAAGCAGCCACAAAAAAATCATTTCCACATGAAAACTAATGTCCTAATGAAAGATTAAAGTTGATTCAGTGTGTGATTTCTTAAAATCAGATTACATTCCCATAATTGCTGTCAGGCCAAGCATTACATTGCAGTGTGAACTTGTATTACAGTCTGAAGCAACAAGCTAAGTGGGATATAACTTCTGATGTTTTACAGATGTGCTCTGAATAGTTTATACACTTCAAAGATTAATGTTATTAACATAAAACTGCCAAAGTCCTATCTTCTAAATAGTGGCCGAGGGGTAAATAAACTATTCCTGCTT